AAGCAGTCTTGGAAGCTTTTGAGGAGCAAATTATATTACGCTGGAGGTTACCAAGCGTGCTATTGAGTGATAACGGTCCGCAATATGTGAGTAAGCTCATGGGCACCATCGCTGGGACCTACGGCATATCCCAGACGTTTACTCATTATTGCCCTCAGGCCAATCCTACTGAACGGGTAAATAGAGTAATTAAAACAATGATTTCTTCCTATTTAGGACATCATAACGACTGGGATCACTATTTACGAGAATTTGCGTATGCTCTGAATACCGCCGTGCATTCGGCAACGGGCTATACGCCGGCCTACCTGAACCTGGGCAGAGAGCTGAAACTGCCTAGCGTGATGGACGCTTCGGAAGGATCTCCGGAGCTGGACTCCACTTTTCCACAGGAGTGGGCTGAAAAAATTTCGGCGCTTCGAGACATATATCTCTTGGTACGAGATAACTTAGAAGAAGCGTATGACAAAGCGAGTCGCCAATACAGCTTGCGACGTATGAACTCGATATTTAAGGTAGGAGATTCCGTACTAAAAAAAAAAAATACCTTGAGCTCAGCGGGCGAAAAGGTTACCGCCGGTTTGTTGCCTAAATATCTTGGTCCTTATACAGTTAAAAGACGAATTTCGGCCGTAACGTATGAGCTAGAATCAAGAAATCGGCCTTAGGCCGATGGCACATTAAAGATTTAAAGCCCTACCATGGTATATTATAGGAGAACCGCGGGCTTTGTCAGAAATTCGGTGAGTAAGAAGTCAGAGAATTGACCCTCGTAGAAGGAAGAGAAAGGAGGGGGATATGTCGACACGCTCGCGCGCAGGGGGGAACCCATATGGGAGTATTGGTGCCGGAGTAGTGTTGAACGTAGAGGGTAGAAAGTAGAGACTAAAGAGTAGTATTGAACGTAGAGGGTAGAAAGTAGAGAGCATAAAGGTGCGGTAGCTACCGCAATTGTTACGGGACCCCGCTAAGAAACGTATATACAAAATTAACCTTGCAACTATATAGAGATGAAATCGAGGCTGCAGGAATAGGGCCTCATGGAGTTAATTTAAGTTAATTTAATGGCTAGTCCAAGGAAAATCCATGGTTAATGACAGTAGCCATTCTGTAGCTGGATATTGATATAATTTTCGATGTATGCATACACACATATTTGTGAAGGTTTATTTGCCTGTTTTGTACCACTATTGATGTGACTTCCGATGTATGCATACACACATATTTGTGAAGGTTTAGTTGACCGTTTAGTACCGCTATGTAAGGTGTAACATCGGGGAGTTCGCTCCCGAAACTCTAACGTTCAAAGAACAGGAGGCAGAGGACGCAAAATTAATATATTTTCAGTGGTAAGACATGATCTTGGTATCTTATATCCAATTATGTATTGTATCAGCTAGGAAACTCTTATGTTCAATCGTATTTCTAATGTGTAGTCCTTCCCAGGACTGTACCCCTGGGTAAGGAAGCTACACGTTATGTAAATTACCCCGCAAAGATATTTGTTGAGGCACCGGAAGAAAGTCCTGAGATGTGTAGTAATCTATAGGTATAAATAATAAGAGAGAGTACATATGTTGTCTACTGATCATCCACGCAGGGACTCGGTTGGGACTAAAGGCGGGACATATTGTATATTATGTTATGTGAGCCCGCCTAAGCAATTGTATGCCTGTAGCAGAGTTAGTGAAGGGCAAATTCACTATGAAGTGGATGAAACTTGTAATCCGGAGGGCTTAAACCTGTCCAATGCCGTATGCCTGGATTTATCCTTTTAATTCTGCTTAGAAGGGTACTGGTAAGCCCGAGTGATAGGAAATTTTGTCCCGCTGCGTGGCCCAAAATTTCTTTCCAGGGAGGGAAGAGTGTTACGAGTCCGACGCTCCGGCTAAAACTACGTTTGAAAGCCTCGGTGATCTGGCAACACTGCCTTGCGAGACGCTTGGCATCCCTGTGTCCGCGGCCCACCCCCACCGCCTGCAGAGGCGGGGCTAGCAGGAGGGAAAGTGTAGCGGTAGCCAGAGGAGATAGTGGGTAACGAGGCATTTGAGAGAGGTAGTGGAGGCTTCTAGGGGAGCGACGACGCCGCAGTACAAGTAACCGCAGGAGCAGCCGGCAGGGAGTTGCGGGCGCCCCGAAGGGTCCTACCTTGGAGAGAAAGGGGAGTTTCGAACTTGGGCCAAAGGGCGGTAAGTAACGGAATACGGGCTTACCGAGCTGTTTGACCCCACTCAGGTATGGGGGGGCCCTTACCTTCCCAAATTAACTTCCACCAAATCAAAAAAGGGATACGGCGGAACGGAAGAGGTTGAGCCTCTCCGGAGTGGACTGGGGTACTGAGGACCTTCCATTAGGTCCACTGTATTTTATTTATATTATACCAGCAATAAACGCAACTGTATTATGTGTAAACTGAGACGGGCAGTAATGGCCTACCCGGCCCATTAGGATCCCCCACCCCCGTAGCAACCAATTCGTAACATGGTCGCAGGGCACACTGGAGATTGCATTTCAACAATTTAACAACCAACAAGAATTTTATAATACATGGTTAGTATGAGCATTTTGACTTACTTGAGGTAGAGACGCAGGCGACTACCACCAACCACCATCTTGTTGCACCCATGCCGAAGAGGGCCTTCGGCAGTTTTCTAAATATTACGTTTGATCACAAAAACGAGTGTCGAAAAAAAGAGGTCCCGCAGCCTTTCTTTGCCCACCTTTAAACTCTAAGGCAGCTGACGCAGCAGCTTCATAAAAGTAAAGCTACCTCCTCCTTTTGCCCTCATTAAAGGTGGTGGTTTTCTATTAGTTCAACTTCTATCCTCGGGGGCAAATCCGCGGCGTCTCCCCCTGTGCATTCGGTAATTTCGTTCTCCCAGTGGCCTACTGAAGCGAGCTTCCTGCTTGTGCGATTACGCACCTTTGCTGACTAAGACATTCTTGACCGAGTTCCACAGTCTTGTGTTGCCATCTTTGCCCTAATTGAGTGGAACTCTTTTGCAATGGTCACAACATTTGGGGCAATGTCTCAATGTACAATTGGTGGCAGCGTCGCGATATCGAACCACACTTCAGGAGTGAGATGAGGTGTCAAACCAAGTATTAATTCAGGTTAGGTAACACGAAAAGAGTAGTCAAGATATGGTTGACGGAGTGAATTAGTATTGTTTTTAACCACCCCTGTCATCGCGGCATCGCGTTTAAAACACACATCAGGATGCAAGAAACGATTAAAAGATGTGTTCAGTATCACTAGTCGAGGAGGATGAGGTTGGCAGGGCATGTAGCACGAATGGGGAAGGGGAGGAATGCACATAGGATATTTGTGGGAACGTCAAAAGGAGAGAGAGAGAGACTGCAATACAAGAGATCTGGTTGTAAAAGTATTTTTTGCAAGAAGCGAAAAAAAGAAATATAATGGGGTGCGAGGGGGAGCACTCAAAATAGTTGCTAAGGTAGCATACCTTCTTACTGATTGTGCTCTCGGCCCTGGAGGCCATTTTAAATTTAGTTCCTGTAAGCTGAAAATAGATGGCAGCAGCATTGCACCGAGGTGTCATGGCGGCCATGTTGCCAACCAATAACATTGGAGTTTCACGGGGCTGCTCCCAAACATACTTCTTTCCGCGACACAGGGGCAGAAAGGGAGGGAAAATCACGTGGTATTGGGGAAGAGGAGGAGGGTGTAAGCTCTAGGACCACGGGAGAAGGGTAGTGTGGAAGATATGGCTGGAAGCCATGACGTCACGGAAGGAGCCATTGCTTTAGCACGGCTCAATAACATAAAGCACAACTATTACTTACTTACTTACTTACTTACTAACTCATGGAGCTGAGCCCTTCTTGAGGAGCCGCCAATTCTGCAGCTACTCAAGAATTTCCTACCATTTTATGGAACCCGAAGGTTCATCACCGTGTTCACAAGAGCCCTCCACTGGTCCATATCGTGAGCCAGATCTATCCAATCCATACCATCCCATCCTATCTAAGACCCATTATAATAATGTCCATCCACCTACGCCTTGGTCTTCCCTGTGGTTTTTTTCCTTCTGGCTTTCCCACCAATATCTTATACGCGTTCCTCGTCTCCCCCATTCGTGCTACATGACCTGCCCACCTCATCCTCCTTGACTTAAAGCATGACTATTGCAAAAATTAATTAAAAACTTCAAATTCATTCAGAATTCAATGGCAAATACATCTATGACTGCCTACCAAAATATAACTGAATTTTGCATTTTATTTACAATTAGTGCCAACAGCAACAATAGCACACATATGATACATCATACTCGTACTGGTCAATTGTGTAGCACAAATTTAGTTGTGAACAATGCCCAAATGACTAACCCTCAGACCAAGTATGCTCAAGAATACTTGCAACATATACATATATTGTGAGATTAATGTTTTTCACAGTAAAGTAATGTTTGATTCTTTAGACAGTGTGTCTAATATTAAAAGAGAAGTCTCACTAACTGCTCTAAGTTTGCAGTCAAAAGTACGAATTCTAAACTTTACTAAAAACCTGTTCCCATTTTGCCAAACATGGCAAAAATTAAAAGAGTATCAACCTGTTTTCGTATTAATTTGACGCATCACTGGATAATTATAAATGCAGTATTAACTATTCACTCTGGTAATTTGTAGTGGTGTGCTGTTACTGAATGGGAAGCCTTCCAGTCCTTGCGCATTAAACCAAAGATCTCCAATACACAGCAAAATTAAAACGTAATATTTCCTAAATAACTTACCCATAAGTGCCTTGTCCTACTTTCGCCACTATTTTATATTTAGTAGCAACACTGGAGATCGGAAAATCAAACTCCTTCCTCTCGCTACTCATGATTTAATGTTAAGTTTTCCACAACCACTGCTTCTCATTACTCGCTGCCGCTACCTGCCGTTGCCTGCTTTCTCAACTTTCTACAGTGCTCAACAGGCTCAACACTTCGAAACAGCTGGCTTCAACCCTCAACTGCACCGCAAAGAAATCTGTCGACTGATGATTGTGATCCATTTGGCATTATGACATCTCTTTGCTTTAAAGTCTTTGACGATACTATTCCCATGAGCGCTTATGGCTGGAATACTTGATTGAAAGAAAATGGCGACTATAATTAGGTTACTGAAAGGAAAAACAGGTAAGTTTTGTGCTTTGGCTTGTGATTATATGGCTTTTTTTAAATTAATTGTTAACGTAAAAACCGTACTTATTCTACAGTTAGTTTTATGCCAGACTCTGTATTTCGTTTTGGTTGTAACGTGAGGGGCGTATCCGTGTTTAAATTTGGTTTTGAGAGTTTTCGCTTTCTTTTTCCTTGTAACATATTCCCAATCACAGTTCGACTTATGTCTACTTCGGTAAGGTCTGTGTGTCTATGGAGACTAGGAGGTTTCGTAAATGTGACAGAGTCTACAAGGCACACTGAATTGTGCTCCGGTAAAAGTGTTTAGGTAACAGTATGGGCACAGCAACACAGGTGTGCATGACATCATCACAAATTATCAAACACTACTTGAGCGTTTAGCATTCCTGACTACTTTGAAGATATCATAAGGTTCGGTTGGGAGGTGGGGTGGGGTGTATGTGTGTATGTACATGCATGCAGTTTTCCTGAGGCCTTCAGGCAAACGCTAGGATAAAATAGAAGATAAGTTGCCCCTTCACTCAACTGTGTGCTCACCATGAAGATGTATGTGGTGTGGAGGTATAGCTTACACATTCTTACACATATTCCTGTTGGAGACGAGTGCCCAGCTTCATGCTTTATCCCCGAAGACCGAGCCCTCTGTACCCACTGGGTGTGCTGTAGAGGCAGATTGGATGCGGTGATGAAGATGAGAGTCTCTGGCTCTGCTGGATATCTGACCGCACTGGTCTTTCCTGTGGGTGATCGCTAATTAAGCTGTGACCACCTCCTCATATGTACTTTTCAGTTATTTGCTTATTAATCATCCTGTCATTCAACACTGTGTAGTTTGTGCTGTTGCATCATAAAACCTGCAGCGAAACCTGTGAAGTTGGCCACCTGTCAGCTGGCTGCAGTTTTGCAGAATGAGCAAAATGATATTAATTTCAACATGCTAAACCATCTTCATCTTGGCTGCCCTTTTATCTTGTAATGTGTCCAGTGTATGGCATTTAAAGCCATTCTTCTGTACATTGTTTAATCTTTCTGTTGGTGACAGAAAACAGGCTTTTTATTTAAATCTGTACATATGAACATGTCTTGACCCTTAATTCAACACTTTACTGCCATGTTGTGTGACATGTTAGTTTTGCCAACCATAGAAAGTTATTTGTAAAAATAAAGCCTTACCACAGTAGGTTATCACATATTTATTTTTAAAACAAAACCAAGAACCTAACCTTGTGGACTTGGTGGAGGCAGATTCAGATATTAGGCTTTGGGTCATGTTTTCACAAAAAAAAAAAACCTAAGGCTAGAAGTACTGAAGGCGATTGAAAACATGGCAGTAAATTTTTAAGTCACTTGGATCACCCACAAATGTGGGCACCCCACCAGTTCTTTGCAAATGAAATGCAATGGAGGAGCATAGTGACCTGCAGCAATATTTGGAATTTCATTTGGGTTTTCACACCCCATTTTCTGGTCAGTAGTATTTAGCCAGCTGTCTCTGAAAGGGAGGGAATTTTCATTTTTCCGAAGTAGGCTAAAGTTTAATCACATACCTACTCTTGTATCTGGTTATGCTGCAGCATTCTTTAACCAAGAATCTGTACACAGTGCCATGTGCCAGAAGATTCAAGTATTATAATTAATAAAATCATGCATTTGCTTCAAAACCAGTGCTAAATGAGTTACACATTTAGTATAAAGAAGAAGTGAAAGTCTTGACAGAAAAAAAAATGTTACTTTTACAAACACTGCTGAACAGTTGGGCATGGCAAAGTGAATAGATGGGAAGATTAATAAGAACAGGATTATAATTCTGAAGGCTTGGTAGAAGAACTGCAGTTGAAAAAGAGGACCAAAAATCATGTAAGAGAAATTTGTTACTATGCTTGCTCTGAAATGTCTCCAGAAATGCTACACAGTGGACATTGTAGTCACTATAGACACAAAAATATAAAAATTTAACACTGTTTTCTGTGAGCTGGCCAGATTTTAGTGAAATTATAAGTATTTCTTTTTTATTGCTAGTGGGGTGGGACTAAGTCCCTTGTACTGCAGCCACTTCTGGCCTATTGTACCACCCCCGGATGATACATGAGGGTGATTGTGGAGCAGTTGGTGGAATGAAGATTGGCAGGGGAAACCGAAGTACTTGGAGAAAACCTGCCCCAGCACCACTTTGTCCACCACAAATCCCACTTGACCAGACCCAGAATCGAAACCGGGCTGCGGCGTTGGGAAGCCAGCAACTAACCGCTTGAGCTATGGTGCAGCCCAAATCATAAGTAGGTACCATCCATTATGGAGTTTGCCAGATCTTAGCAGAAAATTTGAACATGCACTGCATTGCTCCATCATGAAAATGTGCCCGCCCACGTCCCTGAAAACCACAAAGTTTGTGACTAACAGCAACATGGTTATCGTTCCACATCCTGCCTCCTCGCCATACTTAGCCCTGCTTTGTTTCCCAAGTGGAAAATGAAACTGAAGGGATGAAACGGGTTCTGACATCCAAAGGGAATCACAAGCGGTACTAACAGCGTCAAGGAAAATGATTTCTACAGCCCTTAGAAGCGTGGAAAAAATGATGGGATGACAGTATAAGTTCCCAAGGATACTGTCTGAAGGAGATGGCAGCCAAAATTGAGTAAGCAAAGCCAGCGGTTTTTGGCCTACTCCGAGAAATTTCCAATAGAACCTTGTATTGAATTCATTCCACAATCAGACAGTGGTCTTCTGGTGTATGCCATCATGCAGCTGAAAGTTGGCTACCAGCTTGAAGAAACTACATTCAGTGAAGACATAGCTTTATGTCAAGAGTAACAGGGAACCACCTACCTTGAAGGTCGAAGAAGCAGGTTCCTCTGAAATGTTGGTACCTACCTACAGGAATATCTAAAAGATCACAGGGTTTGAGGTTCTGACAGTGGTGGTTATGAACATTTCTGTCTTCAGAGTAAATTCTCATTGCCATGTGAACCTCAGACCTAATATTCAGTGCAGATTATGGTGAAATAAGTTATGCTCTTCTGTATTTTTGTCTGGTGGTAATGATTTTGATGAAGTAAGTTAGTGAAAGAGTGATTTTGTTTCAGTTGTGGGAGTTTTCAAGCAAGCTTGGGATGAAATTCCAGAAATTGTTGCCTCTACAGCTTTGGCTCTTTTTGGATTAGGCTTGGGTGGAATTGGTCTTTATAATTATTATGCTAAGGACGGAGACAACAGAAGGTACAAATATGATTATATAGGTAAGTAAACATGTCTAGTTGAAGGTAAATATTTCATGTACTACATTTAAATGAGCTTAAAGATTCGTAGCACTAAATATACAGTGCAGTGTTATGCATCTTTTTCCACTGTTGCAAATTAAAATATACTTGAGTATTTCATATCTCATTAAATCTGTGTGTTCATATGCATGCATGAATTATGTTCAGATTATTCATATTCTGGGGTTTTTATCACAATTCATAGAGAAATTGAATGGATTAACAGCAAATAAAGTATTTAAATAAAAGTGGCAACTCTGAAATCATGCGGCATATAGAAAGCATGAAAAACACTGAGGTAGTCACAGATTAATTGTAAAAGTGCCAAATATAAAAAAAAATAATCTTAATAAAACTTAGTGTATTTGATGTGTGGCACTCCATGTTAAATGGCTCCCATGTCACCATGGCATGACACATCCTTGGGTTGCAGATGAAGGCAAGGGCCTCCAGATATGGAACAAAGCTGTGAATATAGTGGATAAGCAGTCATTGACAGCTGACAAGGGGTGGTCCACCAGCTTGGGTGTTGGGCATGGAGCTAACAACTTTTTACCATAAAATTAATTTTGTTCCCTGGCTTGGATGGCTGAGGAGAGTATTTGGACTGGGGAGGTTGGAGAAAACTGAATAATGAGGAACTTCATAAATTGTATTCTTCATCAAAGTCAATTAGAATGATTAAGTCAAGGAGGATAAGATGGGCAGGGCATGTGGTGCACAGCAGGGAGAAGAAGAATGCATATAGGACTTTGGTGGGAAAGTGAGAAGGAAAGGGACCAATATTAAAATCAACTTAGATAGGATGGAGTGGCATGGACTGAATTGATGTGGCTTAGGATAGGGAGCAGTGGTGGGCTGTTGTGAGCATGGTAATGGACCTTCATGTTCCATAAAATGTTCTTGAGTGGCTGATTAACTGGCCACTTCTCAAGAAGAGCTCAGCTCCATGGAGTTGGTTGGTTGGTTCATTCAGTTGTTCATCTTGTGGCATTGTATGTGAACTTCTGGGTCAAGAGATGTTTGGAGAGTGTGTTTTTCCGGTATTTTAAGTTATCTGTGAATTTTGCAATTAAAGCTACTTCTGTTTTTCACAAAGAACAGCAGAGCAGGCCAAGCAAATGACAAAACAGGGCAGAACACCTGGTGAATGCACAAAAAAGTTTGAATTTGAAGCATTGAGAAACACTGGTATGAAATATGAAGGTCCACAGATTTAACATGGAATATTTCTGTGTCTGCTGGACATTTAATGATGCATAAAGTTGATTTATGTGTTTAAGTAATGTGAATGTCTAGAACTGTAGTTTTGGGACTGAATTCTAACAGCAGTTTTATAATGAGGAGGACATGGACACACGCACACAACAAAGTACATTTTAAACCATCAGGTTCTGTGCTAATAATGATCTCAAGCTTTCGTACTTTGAAGCAGTAAAGTTGCTCATACTAATTTAGAATGATCTTACAAATGTATGTGTATTCTAATATTTCAGAAGGTGCTGATATGTCTAATTGTTTTTCCTTTCCAGTTCTCCGCCCAGATGATCCAGGAGTCGCAAAAATACGAAGAGATTAAAAAGTCTCTTTTCTAGAACCTTGTTTTCAAGATGTACATAGAATGCTTTATAAAATTCAAATACTTTGCTAGAGTTTGAAAATAAAATGTTTTTTCTTCAGTTGTGTCCCTTTGGATCGTACTATGTTTTCTCACAGGGTAGTTCAGAATGAGATAAACACTTCCAAAGAATCGTAGAAATTAAACTGACCATTTTACATTCTTGTAACACACACCAGTTGAGAATTCCTTCCAGTCTTTTTATAGACTTAACGGACTGATTATTCCATATAAAATCATCACAGCAATTGACAGAATCACTTCAGATTTCATTGAAATTTTCTATCTTGCAGTGTCTGAAAGTTCCCCTTTGTATATCAGTTAATTTCTTTCATTCTGATTCACTAAAATGCTTATAATTCTTGTCCCAGTTAAGACAGAGCTCATTTTTGTACCAATTGAAAGCTTTTAAATGGGGCTTGCATCTGATATGCCACTTGTTATATTTTTTAACATGTAACATTTAGGGCTTGACATTTGAATTTGACTTAGTTTATGAGAAAAACTTGTAGCAAAATTATGCTACTCATTTCTGTTAAGAGACTGAGTAGACACCAGGGTTACAGTGTGGCTGCAATGATTAGGCCAACTAAAAAATAAAATCCAGTGACATCATTGGGAATCGAACCTGCGACTTTCTGGCTTGTAGCATAGTGCCTCAACCAACTATGGAAATAAAACAGGCTGGTCTATCAGTAGTGCTTTAGACTTGTGTTAGATTGGTGCTTTGTTTGAATCTCGGCCAGGGTACTGGCTATCCTGACCAAGGTTTCTCACAGTTCCTCAAAGCAAATGCCATGAAAGTATCTCAGTTATGCCACAGCTCCTTCCAAACCTTTCCTAAACTGCCATTCATCGATCAGCATCTGGTTTGGTGCTGGTTTTAAAACGATCACCCAACAAATAAAAAAGGCCAGAATTGACACTGTCGTTACAATGGAAAACATAGAACATCACTCTGTAAGGAAAATATGATGAATCACAGCAGAAGTTAAATTATCTGCATGTATAACAAATACAGGACTTTTCACAGTTAGAGATTACAGACTCACAAAAGAATGCTTAAATCTACCCCTCCTAGAGTCCAATTTTAAGAAACAGAAACCCATGACTAATCGACCTCTTTCTAGTTACTATTTATTTATTATTATTATTATTGGAGGGGGTGGGTCTCCCCATGCACCGCGACCAGTTTTTGATCTATTGTACGTCCCCCTTTGATATGCTATCAGTCCCCATACCTTGCCCATACTGGTGCGTGCTGTCAGCCCCGTTGAGCCAACAAGGTTGGCCCTCGGTACCTTGATGCTTCCCCCATCTATCAGAGGTATTAGAGACTGCTGTTGCGCGGGAAACATCCGTAATTTGGCTCGGTGACCTCCTTTGGAGATATGAGGTTCTTTTACGTGCCGTAAAGCTACGACACGGGACCCACAGCTTAAAGTCCCCTCCCGGAGGACTTGTTCCCTGAATTTTTCCGCCCTTAAAAATTCCGCCGGGTTTGAACCCGCATACCTCGAGTCATGAGGTGGTAACGTTACCCCTAGACTACGGAGGCTGCTTTCTGGTTATTAAGTATTGTGTGAAAACATACTGGCCACATTCTGATTTCTGTATTATGTATAGTATACTGAAACCTTTCAAATTACCATTTTCATGACCAGCCAGCTAGGAAACACAGTTAAATATAGTTAAAATGTGTATTTTATTTGTATTCTAACGTGTTTGGGTAGGTCACACACGACAACTTTATGCCGTATTGAATTAAGCGAATTTACTGAACACTCACTCTCACAATCACACAATTTCTGCCCTTGGTGGTATCACAAATTATCACATCAAATCTTCTAACCACGTCTTCGGTTCTTCTTCCCCACAACTGCCACTATATTCCAACTGTCTCCGGCAGCTGCTGCATTTTAACTGACTCCTTAGTCAGAGTCACATTACCACTGACGGTCAGTCAGTCTGTCTGTCTTGGTGTCGAGCCCCAGCTGGGGCTCATGACCAGATATTTCTTTTGTATGAAAGTTACTGTCCTGTCCATGTGTAGCGCCCTCTCTGACGAGAGGTCGGGTCTGTCATTAACTGACTCCTTATGCAGTGTGGTTCTCTTATAAACCCTCAGCCAGACAACGGGAAAATGCCTCGCTTCCTTGTTGCCTAGTCGCCGTGTTTACAGGTGTTGCTGGGCAATGCTGTCGAGAGTTGTTTACTGCTGTGTAGTAACCATGGCATCCCCTACTACATCACCATGGGGGAGGGGGGTGGAGTGTTGATTGGCCTGTTACCGTAGTAGCAACAGCGCTCCGATGTTACATCACTGCTGGTGGGGGAGGGGATGTCCTCCATACCACAATACGTCACACTGCTCCCTTCTTAAGGCTGTTCGTCCCAAATAGCCTAACGGTACATCCCCTTTCCTTTTATTTGCAGGCTGTTCTTGCAACATCATCATCTTTCTTGTCCGGCTACTCCTCTTGCGGCAACTATCCTCCGTCCGTTACATCCGCTCCCCTCTTAAGACCAGCTTATCTCGAGCGGTTTCCTGTTAACTTACCAGAAGATCCACTTGTATCACATTCATCCATCACATATTTGCTCTTGCTTGGGAGGCTGATGCTTCTAATTTACCGGCTCCTCTTCTGTGCTCTGCTTCTTTTTCGTTTTGGAGGGGGTCGACCCCCTCCACAGTGTCCGGTTTTTGATGTTCTGGAATCTGCTGGAAATCTCTACTGCTTGTTGCCTGATATCCAGCCCTAGGGTCTTCGTGAGTGTTCGGCTGGCTGTTCTCTCGTTCCCAGGATGCAGCCGCCATCTTGAGTGTTCATTCTTCACTCCAATGCTGCCCTCCAGTTCCTCCTGAAGTCTCCGCCGTCTGAGGGCTCCTCTTGCAATGCTGTTCCTAGTCTAGTTTTTCCCAACGATGTGTCCCTTGTGCTGTGTCACACCTGCACGGCTAGTCATATTTCTGTCTGCAGCCAATTCATGCCGCAGTCCACATTTCCCTTGGGTCATAGATTTCCTGAAGATGTTCCTCTTGAGCCATGCCACTGTTACATGGCAGGACACCTTCCTGCTGGTTTTCTTCTGCTGTGCCACTTCCGCACAGCGGCTCGTCCCTCTGTGGGCTACGGCCAACTTCTGGGGTCCACAATTTTCTGTGTTGAATTCATATTTCTCTGGTTTTGGTCCCTACACCTTTCCTTCTTCGGTTCTCCAATCGGCATTACTTCAGCGTCTTCTACGGGAACCCTCTCATTCTGCCACCTCAGGTTTCATGTCCACTGAGGCCAGCTCATCTTCTTCTGGACGTGCCTCCATTTCTCGGCAGGCCATCGTCACTCTGACTGGTAACACTATGGGGACCTCTCCTTGTTGTGCTGCCGCACGTTTCGTGTCCACTGAGGCTGGGTTTTCTTCTTCTAGACGTGCCTCCATTTCTAGGCAGGCAATTGTCTCCATGTCTCTTTCTGGTTTGGTTTCGGCAGCCATCTCCTTGTGGCTGGTGGCGATATTTTCTCACATGGCTTTCGTCCTTACTTCGATCGCTTCCGTTTCTGCGGCAATCATTTCTCACCAGACCCTCATCTCTTTCAGCAGGAGTTCCATTATCTGCTATGACTCCATCTTTGTTTTTCCCTGTAATCTTAGTCCAATTTTACATCTCAGATTGAGGCATGTTCAAGTTCAAAAACTAATTCTGACACCAAATGTAACGTGTTTTGCTACTGATGACGCCGTTCAGATTGTTAATTGGTTTTTTTAACAACCCACAAGTCTTGGCTACAATTAATTATAACACTGTTATGGGTTTACACAATTTACAAACCCTACGCACTAATTCACTCTGTCTTCAGTAGTCTTCACTTATTCACAGTACAATACGGGAGCTATACCAGTGTCACTGTATTACACACTCCAAATTACTTCTCACGCTATCACGATTCACTCGCTACAACTGAACTCGGCGACTGTTCCAATTCAACTGTCTTCGGCAGCTGCTGCATTTTAACTGACTCCTTATGCAGTGTGGTTCTCTTATAAACCCTCAGCCAGACAACGGAAAAACGCCTCGCTTCCTTGTTGCCTAGTCACTGTGTTCACAGGTGTTGTTGGGCAACATTGTCGAGAGTTGTTTACTGCTGTGTAGTGTAACCGAACCATTGAAATCCTTCCCCCCCTCTTTTATTTCAGTAGTTATACAGTAGAATTATGAGAATTACAAAGAAGCATAGGTTAAGACACAGTCAGAACAAGCAGATAGACTGAACTTGCGCGGACAAGGACATCTGTTAGTTTTTGCTTCCAAGCATCTGGGGTTGCTTCGAAAAGGGCAGAAATGATACTTCATGGAACCCCCACTGAGTTTCTTTAGAAACTGAGAAGCTGACTTACGGCGGCGAGCCACTTTGAGAATTCGAGACGTGACAGTCGCCACCCGTCATAAGTCAACAGTGGGAGGGCCAGGAGTTCATTAGCGACCCCTCGTAAGTTACATCTCTGTCAATTTCGCTGTTTGGGATTTCAGGCCGAAACTGCTTCTAAAACAATCGGTCATTGGCCGGAACCAAAATTAAGCCAACTCCTCTTATTTGAATCCACCTATCCGGGAATTTAGGAGGAGGAGAGAGGAGGCGGATACAATTAAGTTAGGACCTCTGGCTTGGCAGAGAGTCCAGTTTAAGATTAAGAGTCTGCTACAAAACTTTGAACTCGGCGGAGGTAAACCCCGCGAATATACTTGCGCGTTAAGATAAGTAATTCGGAGCAGGTGCAACACCGGCGGCTTGGAAGCCGAGACTAGGCCTGATAGTGTAGATTTAGACTCCGAGTGACTGTGTGAAACAATAAAGTGTTCCAGTGGCAAAGTGCATTGTGTTGGTCAGAAGTGCTTCACCCTCCTTGTCCGAGCCTGACCCTTAGCC